AATCCCTTCGTATACAACTTGTTCTCAGCAAACTTCCGCAAGGCATCTTTGCGTACCATCGTTGGAATGATAGCTAGAAGATTCCACCCAGATTGGTTCGAATAAAGGCTAAGATTTGAAATGAGAAAATGTCATTAGCTATTGCTTACATTTCAAAAAATTTCTTACAATTGCCACCGAATGTGGTTGTCATGTCCTCGACTTTATATTTGCATCGATGTATGAATGTATTTTGAATCAGTGTTAAGATTAAAAAATACAAAAGGTTGACTTTATCTCAAATGAAACGAAGTTTCAACAATTGCGGAGAGAAGAGCTAACATCGCACTATCTTTTAAAATTATATTCCGTATGTCATTTCCAAATTAAGATGCCACACTTGCAACACAATTCGTTTACTCCTTTGAAAGTGATTATCGTCTATATAGCACAGACAGAAATTAAATACGCTGTTTAAAGCTTAAAGCTTTTACCCTTTCGTTTCAGTAACCTTATAACACAGTTAATTCCCTAGACAAGAAAGGTGGTTTTACCCTAATTTTCACTAAAAATATTTGATTTCGAGACTAAACCATATTTAAGCTCTAAAACCATCTTAATGCTCGTTATGAGCCAAAGCCTTTAATTCAGACCAAAATTGCTAGGACCTTTTCTCTTCAATATCATCATGATTGTCATTCAAATTGCTGTAGGCTTCGGAGTATTAGTAAGCAAAACGGCTCCTCTGCATTCAAGGGCCTTATACTGCATATGAAATGCACGGTCACCTATCTACTATGAACTTAACATGGGATGAGAGCGTTTAGCATAGACCTTTTTCAAAAACCTATTTCTGATAAGAAGTTTGTGACTTTTGACATTCATTAAAGGAACTGATGCCTCTACAAGTCTTTCAACTTTAAATTATGGTTTTGCACTATGTTTGGTATCGCATTTGGACCAAGGTGTTACGATACACTGCTTTCAGTAGATACATTGTTTCCACTTTTGAATGTAACTTTTCAAAATGCTGTAATCCAGCGGCAGGAAATTCCAAAATTTCACAAACAATGAAATACGAAGCTTCAAGAATCTTTGGTGGCAAGTTGTTACGTAATAATTAACACTATTAGATGAGTAATAGAAAAAAAATGATTGGTGAAAGGACGTATCACAATCAAATCCAGTAGGAGCAAAATACATTAGTCCATTTACTTGCTTTCCTCAATAAACAATTTGGTTTGAACAAAGAAAAGTTGAAAGTGTTTGTGACCAGTTCACATTGCTAGTAGATGAACGTAAACTAAACGGATTTCTTTTGCAGGTTACAGCTTCATGTAAAAGCTTTAACCAAGTTTATGTAAGCAAATTTTGCAGGCGGACTTTTTCCTAACAAGTGTCTGTTTTTCCCTAATCACCATTAATACGGAAATAATCGGAAAAACTCGAAAGACCGCAGGGGTTCGAAGATATCATAGTCATGGTTTCAAACATTCAACAAGAGGAACTATCGAAAGCCCCTAAGTGTCGTTTAAACTTTTCGAAAAAATTGCCATCAATAGGTCTGAAAGAGAGTGGCTTAGTCGCTTGCGTCACTGACCACCAAGCCCATCCAAAGCAAAATTCTCATGAAAAATGCGAAAAGCGTTAATCACAGCTCTAGTTTTTGAAAATTCCTTCTGCATATCTTTCTCGGATCCAAGAGGGCCATCGCTGAAGGACAGATCTATTACTTCTCTAATAGCCCAAGTAATCATCAACGTTATGAAGACTTGGATTGTACACTGTCTCAGACTTCTAGTTTTTACTTCATTATCCTCGTAATCATAGTAGCAGTTTGCAGAAAGTTTTTACTTCCACCGTGCTTTTTAGTGTCGCTAGATAAACCAAACTGCATGGCACGTAAACACCCTACGCACACCAGTTAGATAAGATGGTGAATACGCAGGCCCTGGAACACCTAGGAAGCAAAAGGGTCCTATTTTTGTGCTCTTCATGATAACTTGTGACTGCACGGTTTTTTATAAGAATTTAGTAATTTGTAACATTTATTCATAGCTCTGCCATACAGCTGTAACACCTGCAGATACAATTATTGTGATTCTGCATCATGTAAAGTGTCAATTTTTATTGAGACCAATGATGTCACGCTAAACTGTGCAGTATCCAGTAGTTATATTGTTGCAATTCGTTATTAATTTTAAATAAAGTCCTAGATTTATAGCGACAGGTACAATCAATTTTTTTCAGTCAAGGAAATAATTACAAAAGCTATGAATCTTTGATTTCAAGCTGCAAAGTTTGCTATTATTCTTAATGGTACAAAATAAGTGATGATCGTGACAGTTTTCTCGCGTCGCTGTCAAAGCTCGAACGCCCTTTTGCGAAAAGACGAGTAAAAAAAGTTATTTTGGCTGGTTTCCTTCTTTTGCGATTACACTAAGAAAGTGTCTTTGGCCTTGAGATTTTTCTCAATAAAGGATCCAGAAAACAAGAATTGGCTTATAAACATTTGTGACAATTTAGTACCACAAAGGAAAAAAGAAACGGATTTTCTTCTGTAGAATACTACTTCATACATGTAAATGTTCTTTCCAAAAAAGTGGCATGTTTTGATGTCTTTTTCCCAACAAATTCCTGTTTTCTTCAATTACTGTCGAATAGGGAGATTAAGGGGAGGAGAGATCTCGGTAGGCCGCTACGGTTCATAATAGCAAGGCTATAGCTCCATGTATTGAACAGCAGAAACGATCAATCAAATCCCATTCGCCCCAAAATCACTTGTTTTCTCCGATTTCTCGAGCCCTATGGCTGTCTTGTCAATATCAGCCATGTATAGGCTTACGTCGTGTCAAGCAATAATGTATAGCATTTGCACTTCTTGCACAATTTTAGAAGTTAGAAGCAATGAATCTTTACACTCCCGGTAATGGGTTGTTTGGAACGCATGTAACTTGGGAGGATATTGAGAAAGATATGCAGAAAGATTTATATACCAGCGCCTTATTTGCTCCAAACAAGACTGCTAAAAATATCGCAGAAGGCGTAATGAGTTTTAATATCTATAATAACTTTCCTCATTAATTTGCACTCCAATCTAGGTACACTATAACTTATCCAGGGTAGATATATACATTCTAGGGATTTATGTCTAGGATTGTCCTCGTAGACCCAGACTGGCAAAATGAGGACAAGGAACTCCCGAAACAGTTCATCGTTAAAGTTACTCGTTTTTGAGTCGTTCTAAACTACATGGATTCAAATTCCGATTTTGTTAATGTTTTTATTTAGATTATCACTCAATTGCCAATGTTGAAGCTAACGAAAGAAATGGGAAGAGATATCGATTTTCAAAGTAGCTTCGAGGGTCTTCTGGAAATTATATCTTTGGGAAATTGTATTTCTATCTGAACCTGTTCAGAATGTTCAAAAAATTTCACTGCCCAGTTTAGAAAGTTGCAAATTTAGTTACACAACAGCGAAGTCTTTGTTTATGAACATCTTTTGAAACTTCCACAAGGAAAGTTTCCAGTGCCAAAGGTTGGCTTCTAACCGCAAGTGAATTCACTATGATCCTAAAAATAGTATAGCACCTATGAGAACAAGTCGATGCGTATGTAGATCTGCTTTATGAGGAGGTTCTCGAAGTCCAATCCTCTCAAAGGGTATATAATCATGGAATATTTAAAAACGCAAAAAATACTTTAAAAGAGGTACTTCCGAACATTCCAACTGCATTTCAATTACATCTATTAAAATTGGTGCTTTGCGCTTTGGCGCGATGGAAGCAATGTCTCTGATAACTCCGAAAAAAAAAGAAAATGCTAATAAAAACTCCTTTCTGCAATCTGCATAAACTGTTCTTGATGTTGATGTTAGTCAAGAAAACGTTGAAGAAGTCGTACAAGAAATTATGGACCCTGATTGGATTGAGCAGTTGGCTGATGAATTAAGTAGGTTTTTTGTAGATAATCTGGTTTTCTATATGTTTCTTTGCTCAAAATCCTTGACTTAGGCACCATTTGACATTTCCAATTATCGGAAAGACATTTTTGAGTTTTATTAAAACTTTTTCTTTTACAGATCTTATTTGATAATGGTTCAATTTCTCACTATGAGAA